ATCTGGATTCAGACACGAGGGGTCCAGGGCCTCTGAGACCCTCTGTCCTGCTCAGAGTGCAGGGTGGTGGCCTTATCAGCCCTTTCTCCCCAGCATGGGCCCGCAGGCCTCTTCCATACTGCACTGTGACAGAGGTACTCCCCAAAGGACAGTTTCTAGAAAGCAGAAGGGATCAGAAGAAAGGTAGGGAAACAGCCACCTTGGCCTGGAAGGGTCTGAGCAGTGCATGGGGTTTGACAGATATAATCTTGATGCTCCAAATCTAACAGGGGTGCTATAGTGGATGCAATTTGTAGAACCTGTTGCCAGGGAGTAGGCAGGAGTAGGTCACCTAGACTTCCATAGTGGCTGCCCCACGGCGGGGTTGGCTGCAGGTGTGGGAAGCAGCCGGGGTGGGGTTGTCCAGGTGAGGTGGATGAGCACCCCTCCCTCCCCTTCTCTTCTAATCACCTTGTCCTCTCGTTTGGATAGGGTCTGAGAATGTCACTCACTCAGAGGCCCCCGGTGGTCTGTGCAGCAGCCATGGTTCTGTGTCTGTTGCTCCTATGCCTTGCTCTCCCAGCACTGCCAACCCTCCCCTGGGGTTTCTTGTGCCCTGTCCTAGCAACATGGAGGTTTTGATTGGTGCACTGGGACTTGAGAGGGCCCTGAGGCTGTGTTTCTGCCAACTCCATTTCCCACTTTCTCCCAGCGGCTTTATTTCCTCCAGTGTACACAGTTCTTCATCCAGACAGCTCACGTTGTGCCCTCAGGTGACATAGCACTGAGGCACATGTTTGCACATGCGTGCACATGACACGGGAGCTCTCCTGGATCCTGTCAGGGTTCTAACTGACCAGGAGCAGTTGGTGTGAAGGTCTAGAAAGACAGGGACATTAGCACAGGGACCACCAGCCAAGCCAGGACACCTAGGCCTGTGAGAGGAGCCGGTGACTGTATCACCAAAGACCACAAGGAAGAAAATGGTCAAAATCATGTAAAGTAAGCTATTGAGTTAAAATGGGTTCAGGTAAAAGTAATGAAAATAAATGAAATTTTAGAAAAAGCAATGCAAAGAAAGGGGAAGAAAAGATTCAATGAGGTTAAATAAATGAAGGGAAAAGGAGAAGCATCCTAGGATGAGAGAGAGAAAATGACAGGAGAAAAATCTAATTACACGATAAAGAAGCGGTATGTAAAGCCAGATTCACATAAGCAGGGAAATCAAAAGGAAGGCATAAAAACTCCCTGCGAACACTCAGCTTCGTCTCACGTATATTTCAAGCTGCTGTGCCCCGAGTGTCTGGCGCTGGGATGGAACCCGTATCGGAGTGGAGTCACCCATTCCACTTCTGCTGAGTCTTGGGACCTGTGCTCCTTGGCATCCGCAGACTCTGCAGTTGTGAGGCTTTAACTTCGTGGCACCCAGTGCCTGAGGACTGTCACATCCTCAGGGCGGACAGAACCATCTTCCGAGTCTTCTTCTGGGGTCGAGTTGGGTTTAGAAGTTTCCCCAGCTGTCCAAGGTTTATGGTGCTCCTGTCTCAGAAGTGGCCCCATGAGGCTGGCCAGCATCTTGCCCTGAACTCTTTATTAAAAATAATTATTTTTACCTTTCTGAATATTTTACCTTACTGAATCACATGGGAACTTTTTATTAGAATTTGCTGGGTGTATTTTCCCTAATATTTTACTTTCAACATTTCTATTCTTTATACTTTAAAACCAAGTCTTGATAAATTGTTCCACAAATGTTCATTAAGTAAATATATTAAAGTCCCGAGTTCTGTCTCGGCTCTGCCACAGATACTTAGCTCTGCTGAAGGAACATCAGCCAGTGCAAGGCAACCTGTGGACAAGGAGCCAATAAAACTTTATTACAAAACAGGCAAAGGGCAAAATTAGCCCGATGATAACATAAAACAGGGTTTGAAGCAAACAGACAATCTCTGTTTTTAATTGGAGAGTCTAATCTATTTATGTTTATTGTAATTGCTGATGTATTTGAATTTACTTCTGATTTCCTTTGTTCTTCCTTTCTTTACTCCCTTCAAAAGAATTACATTTTAGTATGTTTGTGTGTGTGCACATGTGTACGCATGTGCACAAGTGTTCCTGTTTGCATGCATATGTGTGTGCTTGTGTGTATCTGTATCTGTATGTATACATGTGTGTGTGTGTGTGTACATACGCTATGACACATATGTGTAGGTCAGAGGACAACTTACAGGAGTTGGTTCTCTTCATCATGAGAATCCTAGGGATTTAAATTAGGTTGTTAGTCTTGGTGGCAAGTTCTTTTTTCCCATAAGCCATCTTGCTAGCCTTCCAGACTTCCTGTACCCTATAGACTTCCTGTACAGCCCTTTCCACTTGCATTTACATTGATACCATTTTTTTTTCTAATTTTCATTTCCTTCCTTGGGTCATGGATCTCAGGGCGTTCATTTCTCCTGATGGAGCCTTTGTGTGGTCTGGGCTGATGCCTCTCTGTTCTCTCAGTAGAGAAGATCAGAATGCTTCCATTTACCTGCTGTGTTTATCCAGGGCTCGAACTTTCCCCAACTGTTGCCAACTCCTAAGGCCTCCATTCCTTTGGGCCCCCGGAATCCCCCTGAGTGCTATTTCCTCAACATCACAACTGATGATGCCCTGTTGAGTTCTCTTTGGCGTATCTGTCACTGGCAGAGAGGCCTTTTCTCTCTGCTATGGAAGTGAGAGTTTCTGGGAGCCCAGTCCGTGTCCTGGCGACTGTGCATTGTTCTGGAACTGCTGCCCACTCTGCCTACTCCTGCTGCTGCCAGCTCTGTCCCTGTCTTCTGTGGCAAGTGTGCCCCTGACGCCTTTGAGCACCCTTCTATTCACAGTGTTCTCTCTACAGCTCCCTCGCGTGGATTCCAGTTTCTCTCCTTGTATCGTCCTTGGCCCGAGGCCAATTCTGATGGTGCCTGTATACCAACAGTGAAGTGCCAATCTCTATATTTCATGTTGGAAGGACACCTTCATTTCCCCAGGGTGGGATGGCTTCTCCTCAGCAGTGAGAGCGTTTGACTCTCACCAGATGTCTGATGTAATCCTTGCCTTTGTTTCTGTGTTGATGGCAATGTGGTTTAATTTGTGTGTTCATGGCTTCCTCGTTACTGTTGGGTTTTGACAGTAACATATTAAACAACATGTATCTAACCATGTTTTATTCTTTGGTTTGAAAAAGATGCATCCTATTTGGGGTGTTGAGGAAGACGCATCCTACTTGGGGTGTTGAGGAAGATGCATTCTATTTGGGGTACTGAGGAAGATGCATTCTATTTGGGGTGTTGTGGCATGCTGCCCTCTGAGGATGACATACAATTGCCATCTTGGAACCAGAGCAACTGTGATTGCCTGCATGAGACCCTTACAAGCTTGGGTCAGGTAACATTCCCTGTGGAACATGGGAGGACTCAGGATGGTGCAGGAGACTCCTCTCCTCCCTGAGGCTGTGTAAACAGTTAACTACTGCTAAGAGTAGACTCTTCAGTAGTGTAGCTGCCCGTTGGTTGCCCATGCTCCTTCAGGTAACCCAGTAAACTCACTGGTTCACCGAGCTGGACTGGGAAGATAATTTTTTGACTTGTCATCAGGGTCCTGCCTAAGGAGAAGAGATATTCATATCTCCCAGGAAAAGTCACACAGGAGGGTATCTCTGTGTTTTATGTGTTTTTATTTCTGCGGAGCCTTTCTTAGATGTTACTTCTTTGTCTGTTTCTTCTGTCTAATTCCTCCTCTTGGTCTTCTCCGCTCCGCTCCCCTCCCCTCTCCTCTCCTCTCTTCTCTGTCCTCTCCCCCTGTCTCTCCCCTCCTGTCCCTCTCCTCTCCTCCTTTCCTGTGTCCCCTTCTTCCTCCACACCAGCTCCTCTCCTCTCTTCCCTGCCCTCGCCCTCTCCACCCCACCTCTCCTTTCCTCTTCCCTTCCATGACACTACTTATTATCAGGGTTATTAAAGGTCAGAGCCTGGCCCTTGTAGCCCCAATAATTCAGATGTGGCTGCCATCCTTGATGAGCCAATGAAACAAACAAGTAATAGTAAAAATCAGGAGAAAAAAGGAGACTGATTCAATGTGGCCGCATTGTAAAGAAAGACAGAGATCCAACGACTCCCCCAAGTCCATTTTCCAGGTCCTTATATGAGGGTAAGGTTTAGATTCAAGACAAGAGGTACATATAATTAAGCAGTCCGGCTCACTGTGGTACACCATCATTATCTCAGCTTCAGCCGTCTCAGAAGATGGCATGACCAGTTGTCTGCATGAGATCTCTTCCTAGGAGACAAAGTTCCCATATGGCTGGCCCCAGGCTTCAGCCGTTTATTTCCCAGCAAGGAACTCGCAGGGAATTCCAGTTCCCTTGGGCATCTTGTTTCCATGGGACAGATAACCAGAGTGACACATGAATGAGTATCTCAGAATGGTCCCGTTCCTTCTGGGCATGGCAATTATACACTTTCATCCTCAGATTCTGATCTAACATCCCAGAGTGCCTTGCGTTTTGTTTCCTTGGCCCTTTTCACCCTACGTTAGAACCCTCTTCTGGCCTCCACAGACAATGCATTCATGTGGCACACAGACATGTATGTAGGCAGGACACTCATACACATAAAAGTAAATCTTTTCTAAAAAGCAGATAGACTCTTGGGAGGCAAAGGAAAGTGGATATTTGTGAGACCAAGGTCAGCCTGGTGTGCATAGTGAACTCCAGGGCAGCCAAGGCTATGCAGTGAGAACCTGGAAAGTATGTGGGGATAAAAGAGAGCACAGGTTGGATGGGAAAGCGATTTATTTGACTCACAGGGCTAGAGAGGGATGCTAGGAGTCAGGACATCCCTGGGGGTTGGGCTTGGGCAGGGAGAAATGGAATTCTTCTTCTGCACCCTCTCTCCACAGTTCCCGGAGGGGCTGGGCATGTGTCCGGCCTGCCTCACAGATGACAGGTGCTGGGAGGGACAGATGTGTTCCATCTGGCAGTAGCTGGTTTGGGGCTCTGATCAGCAGCAGGAAGGCGTGCTACAGGTGACGGGTCTGCAGAGCAGGGTGGGGCAGGAGGGCTGGCAGCACCCGGATGACTGGCAGGAGGAGGTCACACAGACAGGCCGGCAGCTCACAGGCACACACACAGAGGACTGGCAGGAGGGAGCCATGCACACGGTGGGCCTGCAGCTCACGGGCACGCAGCAGGCAACCTGGCATCTCACAGGAACGCAGATAGCAGGTCTACAGCTCAAGGGCACACAGGATGATTGGCAGGGGCTGGACACGCAGCAGGCAGGCTGGCAGGGGCTGGACACGCAGCAGGAGGGCTGGCAGCCTGAGGAACAGCTGGTGTGGCACATGGTGGCAGATGCTGGCTGATCTGGAGGAGGGTGAGAATGTCTGGTGTTCCTTCCTGGGGCAGCTTTTATACCCAGCTTTATGTCCCAGCTACCCATAATGTAGCTGGTCTTCTGTGTGATATTTCTGTCACTTGTTCCTCAGTGACTTGTTATTCTGGGGTGCGTCTTCCTGAGTTATGCTCCTCATAAACAACCTTGGCTTTGAGGTCAGCTTCTCCTTCCACAAACAGGATGTTCTGGTTTGGCTTTCATGTATTTTGTGCTGCTGTTTCTTGGGCCATTATCGAGCCCACAGCAACTCTGGCTAGACTGAGGTCAGGATTCTGTTCTTTCTCATCTCATACTATCAACGAAGGCTTTTTATTACTTATTCTGATTTACCATTGTAAAATGCAAAACTTTACCATAGAGGTGGGGAACTAGGATCTAGGGGCTAAATTTGGCCTACTTCCTGTCTTTATAAATAAAATACTACTGTTGGCGGCATGCCCATGTGTGTATATGTCACTGGTTGTGTTCAGATCGTGATGGCAGGTTACAAACGAGTTTAAGACATTTGTCATCGCCCCTTAACACAAAATTAGCTCCCTGCTTTGGTTTCTCTTCCGTTGCTGTGACAAAACGCTCGGCAGAAGCAACTTAATAAAGAAAGGGTTTATTCTGGCTCCTAGTTTCAGGTGTAGTCCATCCTGGTGTAGAAGCCAAGCGAGCGGGAGCAGGAAGCAGCTGATCCGAGAAAGCAGAGAGGATGAATGTGGCTGCTGCCCAGCTACTTTCTCCACTTACACAGCCCAGGGAATGGCGCCTCTAACTGTGGACTGGTCCACCTGGTCAGTTAATGTAGTCAAGACAAACCCTCCCAAGCATGCTTTCATGATGCCAGATCCTGTCTCGTGAACAATACAACCCCACCCAACCCTATTGTGTAGTGACTGATACAGGGGCTCATTTGTCACTTCAGCAAATATGACTGTGGGATCTCAGAAATCCTGGGGAACTTTCCAGCAATGGGAATGAGTAACTTCTGGCCCTGTTTCCTTGTACTGTGTCCCCACAACTGTTGCCAACCCCAGGACTGCAGAAGCTGTTGCTGTCTTCCAGCCCCACTGTGGCCCTGATACGCAGGCTTGTATGCAGGGTGCTCCTTTCTGTCTGGCCTTCTCTGTGCCTCTCCCCTGTTAGGCAGTCTGATGCATGCCAGTGAGCTGCAGGGCCATTGTGTGCTCCTGTGACCTGCTACGCCACAGATGCTGCCAGCTTTCCTACCTGTTCTGCTCTGCAGCTCCTCCCCTGCGGCCAGCTAGCCTGTTACTGTGCCTGGGACCTCTGTAGCCATCCCAGCAGAGAGATGGGAACAGCTGCATGACCGCATTTCCACCGGGCTGTCACTTACAGCTCCACGTAGACCTCCCGACAACAGCAAAGTCGCAGCAACAAACCCACCAGGGCCACTAGAGCAGCAAGCAAAGCAGACAGTTACCCACACACCCTTCAGCCCTTAACAGCCAGCAGCAAAATTTTGTAAGAATCTGTAGGAGGCATCCTGTGTCCGTGTTGTACTTCACTTCGGGCTTCCACACTGCTCAGGATTGTCCCTGAGAATCTTAAAGACTCAACAGAGGGACTCAGGGCCCAGACCAGCAGCAGGGTGACCACTGGAGGGTCACCTCTCTCTGATGCTCTGCCTTACACTGGGCTGTTGTATCCCAGTGGCTCTCATTTGTTCTACATTTTTTCCTGCTGCTGCTTTGGTGTGTGTGTGTGTGTGTGTGTGTGTGTGTGTGTGTGCACGCACATTAGCATCTTGGGTCCCTGAAGGTGATTATTGGTCTCTACTTAGCAGCAAGCTGCAGTCCTGAAAGCCCCTTCAGTCTAAAAATTTAACTTGAACCCCCACCACTCCTACCCGTCCTCCTCTTTGTAAAAATGAATGAAGAAAGCCTTCATTCAGGGCAGAGTAATAGCCCCTGCCCCTACAACCTATGTCTGTATCCGCACAGGGCAGGGAGACTTCACAGAGGGGCAGTTTCCATGGGGTTTGCAGAGGCCTGTTGTCACCATAGGGATAACATCTGAGTGAGGCAGGGGGATGGCTGGAGCAGGTAGCAGGACACGGAGGGACTGGCTCAGCACAGCAGGCATAGGTGGGAATTGAAGTTGAGGAGACCTCACCACCATTCTCCCATGGAGCCTCCAGATGAGGCCCTTCCTATGCCTGCACTTAGCTAGAGAAAGCCTATCCGGATGTGCAACCTCCTCAACAGTGCTGTTGGAAATCTGCAGTGTTAGAAGCCACTAAGTCCTTGGTCCTTCTGTAGCCTGAATCATCCCCATCTGCCTTGCCCTGGTATTTCTGGCTTCTAACTACGACTAGCTAATCTTGAGGTCAGAGGAAGACAAGAAGACTGGGGAGAGAGGGGAGCCTGTCTGCCTGTGGGGTCACGTAGAGCAACAGAAAGCCATTGGCTGAAGTTCAAGGTCAAGTGTCTGAAGCCTGTGTCTTCCTGAGGCTGGGCAGAGGGTGAGGTGAGGGGGCAGCTTCCAGACCCCAGCTCTGATGCTGCCGGTGTCAGGGAGCAGGCCATTGGCACACCAGAAACCCTGAAGGTTGGGAAACAGGAGTTGTGTGGACATGGCAGACCAGGGCAACTCACCTATGGTAAATGGTCACTCAGGAACTTCTGCGTTGAACTCTGTGCATTGTAAACATGTGGCCGGTGAGGGGACGCCATCCTGGTGCCCTGCGCACCCAACAGCCCATGGACAGCCCCTGGCATGTGTTGTTATCACCTTCGGGGAGCCTCCTGCCCAGCAGAGCCCAGCAGTGACACTTTGGGTCACTCCCTCACCGTACAGACACCCCAGGGAGAGTTGGCTCTGGCGACCGGAAGGCAGAGGATGACTTTGTGAGTGGCAAATGTCCCCAGTCCAGTGACAATGGCAGCAGGCTCACATGCCTCCCTTACTGGCAAGGTTCGGACTGCAGCCTTGGGAGCTTCTGATGTAAAGTGGCTCTGTCTCTCCAATCGGCCTCTTCTACCAAGTGCGGACAGAGTCAGCTCTGTGGAGGAAAGATGCATTTGGGTTCATGGTTGTAAAGGTTTTGGTTCATTCCTTGGCTCTGCTGATTCTGGACTAGGGGTAAGGAGAGTGTCATGGCTGTAGGGGTATGCAGAGGAGAGGCCACTGACCTCCAGACAGACAGGAGTCAGAGAGAGGGTGGCAGAGGGACAGATGACACAGAAGCTTTAGAGCCACATTCTTTCCCTCCAGTGACCTTTTCCCTCTAGCTAGCCCCTACCTCCTGCCCCTAATCTCCTATTAGCACCATCCCGCGGGGACTGAGTCATCAGTGCATGAGGCTGGGGCTCATGATATTTCATACTCTTAAGGTAACATTCTGCCCTAGGCATCTCACGACTCAAATACATTAAAGCCCCCACAGTCTTCCCAGTTCCAGCTTTGCTTACAAGCCTCCGCTCAGTTAGACAAAGACATTCGCCTGAGATAGCTCCTGTAAAACTAGGAAATGAGTTGCATGCTTTTGATGTGCAGTAAGTGGTCCTCTTCCGAAGGGAAAAATGAAGAATTGACAAAGTCAGACCAAAACAAGATTGAAACCCAGTAGGGCAACACACTCTGGCTCCCGCAGCCCTGTCAGGTGTCTAGGCCAGGTCATGGTGTAGCTCCAAGGGCTTGGGCATCCCCACCTCTATAGCCATGCTGTTGGTAGACCACATGACTTGTGGCTTGTCCTTGGTAGGAGCTCCATATCTTTAGCTTATCCAACTACCCAGGGTCCTCCTTGCCCCTTTGGTTTACTCTCTCATCTTCACACCTTCTCAGGGGCTGCCCAGAGTGACCCCAATCGCAGTACATTCCCTGGCCTCAAAGTGGGAGATCAGGTGTCACCTTCAGAGGTAGTGCATCCCTCAACTAGGTTCCATCTACTAAAGATCTACAATCTCCCAAAATAGCGCTGTCAGGGTGGGAAGGGGGCACTCAATAAGAGCCAGTGGGGGTGGGTCACACTCCGCGAGTCTATCTAGTCTTTTTCACCCTGTCTCTTAAAGAGACCCTGTGACAAGAGGCCAGCCTGGTCTACAGAGCAAGTTCCAGCCAGGGCTACACAGAAAAACCTGTCTCAGGGAGAAGGGGAGGAGAAGTGAGAAGGGAAGGGATGAGAGAGAGAGAGAGAGAGAGAGAGAGAGAGAGAGAGAGAGAGAGAGAGAGGCAGGCCTGATGGCCGTTTGGCTGGACCATCTCTAAGGGCTGTTGTCTAGGTTCTCTGGGATGGTGATTTGTAGGCTGGTTTTCTTTGCTTTATGTTTAAAAACCACTTATGAGAGAGTACATGTGATAATTGTCTTTCTGGGTCTGTGTTACCTCACTCAAAATAATGTTTTCTAGCTTCATCTAGTTTCCTGCAAAATTCAAGATGTCGTTATTTTTTTCTGCTGTGTAGTACTCCATTGTCAAGGGGCATTTAGATAGTTTCCAGGTTCTCGCTATGACAAACAAAGCTGCTATGAACATTGTTGAGCACATGTCCTTGTGGAACGATTGAGCATCCTTTGGATATATACCCAAAAGTGGTCATACTGGGTCTTGAGGAAGGTTGTTTCCTAATTTTCTGAGAAATTGCCACACTGACATACAAAGGGGTTGTACCAGCTTGCATTCCCACCAGCAATGCAGGAGCGTTCCCTTTACCCCACAACCTCCCCAGCATAAGTTGTCATTAGTGCTTTTGATCTTGGCCATTCTTACAGGTGTAAGATAGAATCTCATAGTTGTTTTGATTTGCATTTCTCTGATGACTAAGGATGTTGAGCATTTCCTTAAGTGTCTTTCAGTCATTTTAGATTCCTTTGTTGAGAGTTCTCTGTTTAGGTTTGTACTCCATTTTTTTTTTAATTTGGAATATTTGTTCTTTTGATGACCAATTTCTTGAGTTCTTTGTATATTTTGAAGATCAGACCTCTGTTGGTGAAGATCTTTT